ATTTCATCGAGGGGTTCTCGAGATATCTTCGATCAAAGTTCTATCAAGAATCAAAACGTCTATCAAATTGAAGCTGCGCCGAATTTTTTTAGAAACTTTGATCGAAGATATCTCGAGAACCCCTCGATGAAATTCGATCAAGATTTTTTTATTTTAATTCTATGAATTCATAGAATAAAAACAAAAGAATCTTCATTGAATTTCATCGAGGGGTTCTCGAGATATCTTCGATCAAAGTTCTATCAAGAATCAAAACGTCTATCAAATTGAAGCTGCTCCTAATTTTTCGGAAACTTTGATCGAAGATATCTTGAGAACCACTTGATAAAATTCGATGAAGCTTTTTTTGTTTTTATTCTATAAATTCATAGAATTAATAAAAAAAAAAACTTCATCGAATTTCATCGAGTGGTTCTCAATAAACTTTATCAGATAAGTTTCTGATTAAATTCAGTAAAATATTTGATTTAATCCTACGAACTTTGGTTTTTTTTTTTTTGAAAAAAAAACTCGAATTTTTACCCGAATTGCTGCGCATTTACACTAGTATTTTTATGCACGATTAATAGAATAAATTAAGAGTCCACGCATCTAAAGATAATTTTTAATTTTAATTTTTTTTTTTTTTACCGAATCTAGCACTTATTATGTACGATAATATTTATTGTGATTATAATAATAGATATTAAAATATTTTACTTACGAACGAATTTAATACGTACGTACGTACGTACTTATTTTATGCACAAATAATTAATTCTTTATCTCTAATTAGTCTAATGCTAACAGAATTTTGCCGAATTTAGCATTTTTATTTTATGCCAACTAATTAAATCATATTTATCGCTAATTTAATATTGAATAAAAATATTTATTAATTTAAATTTCACCGCATTAGCATTTAGATATATTAATCGAATTTATTAATTATTTTATGCACCACTAATTAAATAAATATTTATCGCTAATTAATATTAATAGAATTTTATCGAATTTAGTTAGCTTTTTATTTCATGCACAACTAATGAAATCAAAGATTTATCGCATTACGTACGTACGTAGCATTTAAATATATGCCCAAAATTGTAGATTTTTTTATTACTTTATCGCAGCGTATTCATTCTTACATTATTTCTATATTTAAATTACTAGCCTTACTTTATTTGACTTGCATATGTATTTTGTCAAATTACAAAAACTCGAAGTTGTTATTATTGACTGTAATATCTAGTTATTTTGAATTATAAGTCTTAGCACATTCATTCGCATAATGTATAAATATTAAATATCATTAATTTAATTTAATTTTCAAATAAAGGATATTTTGTTTGCGTTGAATTACTGCATCGTTCGTTTAGTTTGGTTATCATAAAATATGAAAATAGGACTAGAAATAGTTGTCGTTTGGTTATATTTTTTTTGTTATCCAACCGAATAGTTGTCATTTGATTATTTTTTTTTTTTTGTTATCCAACCGAATAGTTGTCGTTTGATTATTTTTTTTTTTGTTATCCAACCGAATAGTTGTCGTTTGATTCTATTTTTTTTTGTTATCCAACCATGGATTGCTTGCAGTATCGTTCTTTTAAAATTCCGCAGGTCTTGAAATTAATTATACCACGAACTAAAGTAAAAATAAAAAATAAAAATAATCTTAAGATTATTTCCAGTATATACGCGAAAATATTTAAGCCCTTTCTCTTGACCTTCGATGAATTTAATAAATTCAACTTTTCTTACAAAGATTATTAAACATAAATAGTAAAAATATCAGCATATCTTTTTTTTAACATAAATATCAATTAAATACCGGATACCCAAAAATGAATAGAGAAAGCCCAAATACTAATAAAAAAATGTGTAGTCACTGTTATTGTATGCTTAACCATGAGAATTTTTGTCGTCCACGAGGAAATAATCCGCTATATGAACATGCGACCTGTAATAAATGCTGTGAAGAGCGAAAAAAAAAGCGAAAGGAAATTGATGTAATCTCCAGCAAAAGAAAACAACTCGAAGCCGATTCAACTAATTCAGTTGCAGTTGCGAACTCTAGCCAAACTGATACTGATCATATGGATTTTGAACAAGATAGTGATTGTTCTGAAGATTTGCCTCAAGATTTGTTGCATGAAGATAACGTGCAGAGTGACCAAGATATAGATAATATTGATGAATTCAATAACGTCGATGGTCTTCTATATAATTTAGATGAAATACAAGAGTTAGTTTCAAATCGTTTTCAAGATGCAGAAAAGTCAAATGAGCCAGTAAAAATTAATTTTGAAATTGAACTAGATTCAGCTCTTATTGAAAGCATTTTTCCAGAATTCGGGTTAGAAACACAAGATTTTGAAACCATTAAAGAAAGCTTTCATCAATTAGTAAATGTCGTAGTTCTACCGTTGGAATATGGATCCGGCTATTACTGGAACGTTCCTAAAATGTATCCTAATAAAAGAAAAAATAAGTTTGCAGGTTGTGTAACTGCGTATCTTGAATGTGCACAACGAAATGATAGAAAATGGCAAAGGTCTGAAGAACAACCTGTTAAACGAAAAAGCGAGGCTCGTGTGTCTATTGAGCGATATGACTGCTTTGGAAAAATAAAGTTAACTATTGATCCCCAGCAACGACGTATTATTGTCCAAGGAAGTCATCAACTAGCACATTTGCACCCTGAGTATAGGAAGGTTGAGTTTCCGGTAGCTGCAAAATTATGGATTCGAAGTAATATTGAATACAATATACAAAATTCTGAGTTATATAGGCGTCTTCAACATGAAAATCTTATCGATGCGCAAATACATACCAAAGAGCAGGTATATTACTGGGCATCATTTTTTCGGCAGCATACGTATATGTTCAACCCAAATAATCAGCTCTTGTCAACAAAAGAATATCTTGAAAGCAAAGGGCATAAAATTCTTTGTTACTTGGATAACGACTTTGTAAAAGTTCTTGGGTTCACAACATCTTTGTTTAACAATATTGGTGCTTCAAACTCAAAAGAGATCGTTGTAGACTCTACATTCAAAACGAATCAAGAACGTTTTGAACTATTCGTCATAAACACAAACTGTGAAGGATATGGAATGCCAATAGCATATCTATATTTTCTAACTTGTACTGGTATGGCAGAGGCATATCATAATCCTAGAAATCAAATTAATACTCGTACACAGGTTCTGTGCGAATTTTTTACAAGCCTTAGGAACGAAGGGGTGCTTCCAATATTCATTTTGGTAGATAAAGATGCTGGGGAAATATCAGCGACCGAAGATGCTTGGTCGGGAATCGCAAACTTACAACTTTGTTACTGGCATCTTGAACAAGCTATCGTTAGACGTCTAAAGGATAAAAAATCAAAAGCATCAGGTTATTCAAAAAATAAAGCAGCAGAAGCCCACAATCAATTCAATTTTATTGATCCATCATAGATCCCAGACGGTAATACTGGAAATTTGTGTCCAGATAATCAGATCCCAGAAATTGTAGATATTGTCAAACGGCATGCGATGATGCATCCACTGATCCCAATAGCGAAAAATACGTTCTGGAGCTCT